GCTGACATGTGACAGTGTGTGCTGCCGAAGGGCTGTGCCATGCCTGTTTTCTCAGGCTATGTGGGAACGCCTTTCTTGTGCACAGTTATAAACTGAAACCTCCCTCATTCGCTGTGTTACTGGCCCCATCACACCAAACCCTCCATCATACCCTGTTTACAGCTACAAACAGTCTCTCAGCCTCAAATATACCGCATGAAGAACTGGTGTGACCCCACTGGTGTTCTGTCACAGGGGACAGGAGCTTTGTCAGGTGTAACCACTCTGACAGGGCAGCACCATTACATATGAGCAGGAGCAAGCAGTTAACCAGCTGCAGCCATCTCTAACACCCCTTTAAAGGAGGTAAGGTAGCAACAGCCATGTCTGCAGTATCACCCCGGGGAGCCTTTGTGGCTGGGTGGTGCCAGCCCCAGGCACCCTTGGGAGTGACACCACTTCTGATCTGGAGCTGTGAGACCACAGGTCTAGCAGGCAGTTAACACTGCCGTGCTACCCTCCCTTTGCAGCACAGGGGCCAGGGAAAGCAAATACAGGGACACAAAGACACAGATGTGGCACTTGCTGGCAGCTGGAGAGCTGAAGGCAGATTGGGGACCAATGTAGAAGAGAGCAGCGAACTTATCAGTCACACGAGGAGCACGTGTGGGCAGCACAGGGAGCAGAGCTGTCGCCCACCCAGAGTACATCCGAGAAGCAGTTGCACTCCTGCAGGAGCCCAGAGGAAGCTGTTTGTGCTCCTTGCAAACAGCATTACAGAGCTCAGCCCTTCTGTTAAAACATAGAGTAAACGGGGGAATTTTTTCCTGTATAAATAGCAACAGCAGCATTAATTTATGCTGAGGTGCAGAGAGCTGATCTGCCTTCCTTCCTCATTGACATGCCTGGCTGATGCTGGTAGAAATCAGCAAAGTGCTACAGAACAGCAGGAAAGCCCCATAACCAGCAGTGTGGTGTCAGGTGCTTACAGGAAGCACTGGAGCACCTTATTTGCACTAACGGAAGTCATGCACAGCCACTGCTTCATTTTAAATGAGAGCAATTTATTTTCCCACACACTGAATCATTGTCACTGGTTTATCTCCCACAGGTACCTTTCCCTTGTTCTGAATGAGTTAAAACTAGGTGTATTTGACAACTGCAGCCCACCTGCTTTTCAGGAGGTGAGAGCTAAGGGGTTTCAGAAGGACAAAAGCACAACCCTGGATATAAAAGCAGAGTCAGAGATTAGACTGACACTGCTTTTCTCCTGTTCTATCTCTGAAGCATCCAACAGTGCTAATCCCAGAAAACAAGTCCCAGGGTGACTTACAGACAAGTTGTAATGCTCCTTCTCGGCACCACGCTGTGTTTTGCTCAGCCCAGTTTAACCATTCACAACATTGCTTTGTCCAAACCCACAGCTACCAGCCAGCAGAATACAGGGCTGGCCTGGGCAAAGGACCCATCCCTGCAGCTGAGCATGGGCATAGAAGGACCCAGCATGGCATGCAGCAGGGCTAGCCTAGACATACTGCATGTCCTCCCTTTTCGTCTCCTCTTTGCCTGGCAACATGGCCACCTTCTTCAAATACTGCTGGGCTTTGCCTTTTCCACAAAGAGAGCCCCCATAGCACAGGGGAAGAGCGGTAAGGTGGAAATTCCTGAGCAAGGGCCCAAAATTCAGAGCCAGAAGGTTGCTCAACAGCCAGCACAAAGCCAGTGCTTGCACCTCTGAGAAAAAGCAGTCATCAAACATAAACCCCATGTGCTTCAGCCTATCTCAGCACTTAAGAAGAGGCAAAAGCTGAACACTGGAGGAGGGAAACAGCATGGGGGACCCCACAGCTGTCCCTCCTGTGAGGTGGATGATACCAGCCCCTGGGCCTCAACAAGGATGTCCTGACCACATCACAGCTAGTCAGAGCTGCTGCAAGCTGTCACAAAACAACATTGCCCTAACCGCTGCTTTCTGAAAGGAGAGCTGCATGCTAAGAGCCTAAAGACACATTCAGCAGCACTTGCTGGCTTGCCTCAGCATTGCTTGCAAGGAGGCCAAGTGGTCATGAGCAAAACCCAGCATCATCCAATGTCCATTGTACCACAAAGTGCTGGAAGCAACTGCAGATGAAGCATCCGGTACCTGATGTGCTCAAAGCTGGCTCTGGCTTTGAGCACAGCTCCACAGCAGGAAGGATACAGAGACAAATTTCAGCCTAAAAGTAGCCTCCAGCTTCATCTGTGCAGAATTACCCACCACATGAAACAAGTTTCAGCAACAGCCCCACAAAATTACCATCAGCTCAAAAGGAAGTTGGAAGCAGTCACACTTCAATGGCATCAAGCGCTCGGTATCCATGCAGTAGCAGGCAGGGAACATCCTTTCCTGCATTTCAGCTTCAAGCTATATTTTTATAGAGCAGTCCACTAGGATATATTTGAAGAGAATAAATCTCACAACACAGCTGAACTTCTCCCAGTGTCTCCTTAGCTGTGCAGAAGAGACCCAAGGAAACACTGAAGGATATACCCTCACTGACCATCTCCTCCTTCCATCTGTAGACGCTTGCCTTTAACTTGGCTGTAATAAATCAGAAAGGAAACCTTGACATTGGGGCACCTCTGATTGCTTTACTTTTGTCAATGTGCTCTTCCTCTACAATCAACATTCCTCCATAAGGAAGGCATTGCAAGAGCTTCCTCCAGTTCTTGCTCCACACAGCCTTTTTGCCAAATATCCTTGCCTCTCCAGTGCTCACCTACTCCTCAAGACAGTCGATAGCAGAAGGGACACTTACCTTCTCAACTGCAGCTGGCAACCCTCCATTAGTTTGAAATTATACTCTCATGGGCAGAATCCATCTGAAGATGTACCCTTCCATTGCAAGAAATCAATTATAATGAGTTTAATGATCCAAATAACTTATGTTTAGGGTTTTTTCCCCTCAAAGATGCTGCAAAACTTTTACTGCAGTTCTTTTGGAAAGTGTAAACAACCCCCACAAGCATGGAGTAATGTTTATTATTACTTTATAACTCTGCAAGAAATGAGTAACCTACTATAGGGGCATTAAGCCTTATAGAATGACAAAGTTCTTTTGAATTTAGTGTGGACACCCATTAACTTTCCCCACAAACACTGATGGAACCACTGCCTGCAGGAGCTGCTGCAGCAGCCTCCAGGGAAACCCAACTACTAATGGTTGCCACACGGATAACCGTAGGAAACGTAGTTTACTCCGCACCCTTCCCCAGTTTCCTTTCATACAAGAGCAAGTCTGTTATCAGCTAAATTCCATTTTGCTAAATTCCTCTTTACTCAAAGTACTATCCTTGGAAAACACCAGCTAGAGCCAGGCACTTTAGACAGTGCCCAGATGGACACCCACCCACATCCACCTCCAAGAGCACTCACCGACCACTAGTGTGAAACAGGGATCCAGCAGCTACGAGCACAGCAGTGTCCTGGAGCTGTTGCCAGGAAGTACATTCCAGCTTTGGTCACCCTGTATTTTGTACAGTTTGCTAACTCAAAAGAGCCCAAAAGGTCAACAGACTTCACCTGCATCATCTTTAGGGATTCATGTGGGCTTTTTTAAGGCATTATTGAACAACAACAAAAGCACTATTTTTGTTTTTTAAATTCCTCTCTTTTACACACAGGGATCCTAAAAAACTGAAAGCAAGTCCTAAGAGCAGTACTTGTTGCATGAATAGTACAGGTTAACTAGCAGGGGTCTCTCTGCACATTACAGACATGCAGATTCACAACCTCTCGTGACCTTCAGTGCAGCAATAGTGGGAGCAATTTTGTTCTTGTGGTGGGTGTGCATCTTTTACAAAACTCTCCCTAGAGGCAAGGAACACTCCTCAGGAGCACTACAAAATGGTTCATGGTTCTTTAGCCATGAAGAAATGGAGAATTCAGTTTGTAAGGCTTTGGAGTAATAAATATTCTTGTCATTTCCATAGCTCAAGTCACACGGTGCCACCTTCTTTTTGGTTCTTTCCAAAACTCTAGCCAGGTGAAGACACAGGCAAAACCCAGACATGAGGAGTAATTGTGGTACAAGTGATAGCACATACAGAGTAAGGTTTGTAACAGAAGCACTTTCAGCAGAAGACAACTGCAATAGCAGAACTGAAACACAAAGTTAAGGCACATAAATAGAAAATTCAAAATTACAGGATGAAGCTGTATCCTTTATGAATTGCTACAAATATTCTCACACGTGGGAGTTGCAAAACCAGTTAATGACACTGTTACTAGAGCCACGGAAGTGTAAGCAGTTACCAGTGAGTCACTGGAGAACTTCATGTTATTTTCCAGAGGTGACTTCATCCATCAGGATAACAATAAAGGCAGGCCAACTTGCACTACTGTGTATTAGCAGCATGCAAGAAATCCTGGTTTTTGGAGGTGCTGTGATTATTCCTGCCCACTTGCTCTTAAGTAAAATGTTCTTTCCAATTCAATAGACTCACAGCCAGGTCTGGCTTAGAAGGAACCTTAAAGCTCACATCTAGCTCCAAATGCACTGACACAGGCTGAGACACCTTCCAGTAGGCCAGGTTACTCCAAGCCCCATTCTGCCTGGCCTTGAACACTGCCAGGGATGGGACAGCGACAGCTTCTCTGGGCAACCTGTGCCAGCACCTCACCACCCTCACAATAAAATATTGTGGGCCTAACTCAGCCTTATGGTCTCTGGCAGTTTTTTCTGTGTTCTTCCAGTCATCACGCAGATGTATGATGAAAGGGACCGGGCTCTATCATGAGAATCCCTCTGCTAACCGCGTTTTTCTCTTCAGCCTCCCTGGCAGTCACCATTCAGTCTGGGTGACTGGAGGGCTCAGCTCCCTGCGCTGGGGCCGAGGCCAGTAGCCCCCACATGGCTTCTCCACCCTGTGGCCAAGTACGGTGTAACACAGACCTTCACCTCCCGTAGTGCCAGGGCAGCGTCTGCAAACAAACCCAGCGTGAAGTAGCTGTGAACACACATATCACAGGAATAAAGCTGTAAATTTCTACAATCATTTTTATTAGTTATGGAAGAATTCCCCACTAGTATTTACATAGTGCAAAAAAGCTGTTATTACTCCAAAAAGTACGGTAGACAGAACAATTATCCTTCATACAGCAAAAAAGAAATGGAACAAAACCCTTCATATTGTATTTCGTAATGATTTTTCTACTGCTTTAACCTAAATATTACTATAAATTTTAAGACATTAAAGATTAAACAGCTTTCCTTAGTTGAATCTATTTAAAAGTAAAATATATGAACTATTTATCAACATTTAGAAGGTGGGCTGTGCCAACTGGGTTTCTACTTTCGGCTTTATCATTCATTGGTGAGGAAGTTTTGGGTTTGACATTCTTGTATTTCCTTACGTGTGGCAGGGCGGGTAGCAGACCCACGTTACATGTTTCTATGGCTTACTTCTGCTGGTTTTTGTTTCATTAACAAATTGTCATGTCCAATTTTTAAATAGCTAACGTTGACATCAACTCGGTAAACTTTCATTAGTTGGCACAACTTCACAGGAAATACTTAATGACAGTTCAGCAAACAGCAGCTTTTCAAACAATAATACTTTTTACATGTGTATTTAAAGTAACATTATTAAAATTGAAGCTTGTGTTAAAGAACCGGACAGAATCACATTGTGTAAGCTCCCACCCACCCAAATAAGCATAAAGACACCTCTTATCTTTACCAGAAGAACACCAACAAGTGCATTACTGAACATTTTCTATAATAAGTTTTTAAAACACAGGTCAATACCCCCTGTCATTGTTTAGCTCCAGTCTTACAACTACCTGCGCACAACTTAAGCAGATAAACAGGCCATCGATTTAAGCCAGTGGAACTAATGCTCTTAAGCACGTGCTCGCAGGATCAGGTCCCTAACCATACTCAGACATTGTTACTTGGTCCATCTAAGGACAAAGTTCTTCAGATTTTTCCCTTTTATATATTTGTAATCCACTTACTTTGACAGAGATACTGAAAGTATTCATATAAATAGGCTGTATACATAGACACCTCTACCAGATTTAAAGATCCCTACCCCTACCACAGATACATTAGTTTGGATTTTACCAGATAAATTAAGTGGTGAAATAATTTCTACAAAGAATGTCTTAAGTAGATTTGTTTTCCAAAATCATTTTCACAACAAAAATATCTATACACCTGTAACTACAGAAACACCTCTTCCTGGGGACAGTAACAACCTGTATAGTACACTGCACACCTTGATACTGAAATAGAAATTCAGCTACTTGTAAAAAAAAAATAATCATGGTATTGTAAAACATTTGTAGACTTTCTTTCTAAATTCTGGTGATAACAGAATCAAAATTACCACAGTGAGATACTCTCTTCAAGTGCTTCAAGTGGCAAGGAACTTTCCTAATTTTAGATGCAAATGGATCACTCCCACAGGAATTGCAATTTCTTTCTCAGAGTTATTGCTCATTCCCAGCTTATCAAAAGGAAGCACTAAAACCAGTTTCCTGTACTCAGTTTCAGTTTGCTCCTCTAAGGGTGATCTGCCACATTTGAAAAAGAGATTAGTTCCTTATTTGCTGGCAAATTGAGAGATATTAGAAGTGCTGTATCACCTTCAAGAACTCTATTAAACCTGTAGCAAAACTGCAGTTAAATAGTGGGCTGAATATTACAAGACTTCTTTGATACAAACGTCAGAAAATTTTAAAATGACAGTCCAAGTTCAGAAAAGACATATAAAAAGATGCGCCTTTGATGTTCGTACTTCAAGATCAAAAGTTATTTGAATCACTGGCACTGAAAAAGCAGAAGGAAAAATTACAAACACCTTTGTTTTTCTGATGTTCTGGTGAAGTTTTGCCCTCAGTGCATACATGGATCTCGGCTGGTGTCGAGACGTGCTTACACATCCAAGGGCAAGTTTTGCTTGTCAGCAGTTCAAACACTTATCATTTCCTAAAGCAAAAACTCATTCAAAACATACAGATGGTAGAAATCTGCCATTTTACATACAGTAAAAGGTTTAACATTCAGGAGGCATCATTCCTTAGTCTTTGTTTTCCTATAAAATGCCTGTTGTAACATCTAGGAAGATTACATTAAGGAACTAAGAACGTGACAGAACAGCCATTTGTCCTAGCAGCTCTCTATACTGCTTATCTACATAGCATTTGCTATGCCTATCAAAGCATTATTTACATAATACACACAGTTTCTATTATATTCATTAGCATCCAAAAAACCCAGGGGTAGATGATTTCTAAACCTGGAGTCTTATTTTCCCAGTGCAACTTAAAATGCCAGCATCACTAATACTATAAGCATTGGTCCCATATTAATATGCGTGGATTAAATACCTAACTAAGCTATCCATTTCTTGTGGGCTGGTTTTTTTTCAGCCTACCCAGAGGATTTTTATGCATTTTGATACAAGTGATCAAGAAAAAGGAAGTGAAATTAAAAGAAACATACATTTACTATGAAAGTGTTACTCATGTGAGTTACTCTTTGGCTACTCCTGTAGTGAAGCTCCTGCTGCTGGCAGTTTCAGTACTTCCCTTGCCAATATAAGACAAAAGTGGAAAATATACTCCTTACATGCAGTGTTTAGACACATACTCCATCTTCAACCTAAAATGAATTCATTATTAGTTAATGGATTTTGCTTAAATATCCAGAACACATGGAACAATTCTCCAGCAACATGTATGCTTCAGAGAGGGCATATTTTTCTTCTTTCACCTCAGAACCACTGAAATACCTCCCCATACTACAGGGCACTTCCTCCTTTCCTGGAAAACGACTTCCTTTTCTACTCTAGAGATCAACTCCCAAAGCTGCTACAACTGCAAGAACAAAGAGAGGTCAAATTTTGAGTAAGAATTGTTAAGATACACCCTGAACTCAACACAGGGGTGGCCAAGATCAGAGCGTGCAGATGAATGTGTAGATACACTGAGCCACCACATTGTTCACACCTGCTGCTAAAGGATTATTCTTGCTTTTTGCAATGTTCTGTAGGTTACAATATGCAAAACAGCATTCCTGAGGTAAGTGACAGGAGAAAGAGGAAGTCATCAGTTTACTAAGAGCCCTGGATAGACATTATGGTTAGTGATTCACTTTGTGTGGTTTGGCAGACAGCAACTGTGGAGAGAAATGAAGAATTTTTGTTTTCTTTGCTGTTTTTTAATGCCATATTTTCACCTTGAAAAAAACAAAACAAAACCACCACACAAAACCCACAACCCAAAATATTAATTATATCCCTCTGGTTTAAAGCTTTTCTGGAATCAAAGTTGTTGTAGCTTATTGTAACCATCTCAACTATCACCAGCTCTTTAATGATGCATTCATCGAGACCAACTTAAAAAGCTACATCTTGGCATAAGAATCATGCATAGATTTCTCTACTATTTACTTTGCATTAAGACTGCAAATGGGGTTTTACAGCTTTTCTTTGAAGAAAACTAAAATTTTACTTCTAGATGGAATCAGAAAAATCACAGCCAAATACACTGATGTGCCTGGCATAACAGCATAACACCAATGTAAAGGGTTGGTCATTTGTCAGTCTTAACATAGGTTATCTGTGTGAAAATGAGCTAAATGGTCACATCTTAATGAATGTTGCTTAAAACTGATCAGTTACAAGATGTTTCCTTTTACAAAAGATCACATGAATACTTAATGACAAATTATCCACAGTTTCTATTCTGGGAAAAAGAGACTGATTAAAAGCTAAGTTAGTTCTTAAATCAAGTAACAGACAACTACAAAAATATTGTTGTGAATTAAATACACATATTAAATGTTTAACAGTGCAAAATGTTGAGATGAAGCGTACGAAATAATGGCTGCAACCTTTACAACAGTTAGTTTTAATATTATTTCTAAAAAGTTCCTGAGTTCCTGCTTATTTTTTTACGGCATATAGATGGAATCTGTGTGTTCTTTACTCAAAGAGCTGCAAATTGTGGGTTTGTGTTGAGTGGTACTTGCGTGCTTATCATTTGTCCATTCCTCACCATCAGTGACTGGATCAGCCTGCTCAGAAGTCTCTAATTCTTCCTCTTCACTTTGTTCTGTGTTGTCTTCAGCACCGCTAAGGGTCTTCCCAAGCTGAAGAGTCTCCATAGTTCTCTGGGTCTCTGAAACCCAAGATTCAATTCTGCTGTTAAGCTGAACCTCTGCAGAGATTGGTTCATGGGCATAATCCTCATCATCTTCCTCCTCCTCCTCTTCCTCCTCTTCTAGCATTCCTGGTACAAGAGTACTGGTGGTACTGGTCATGGAAGAATTCAAAAGATCTCGGCAGCTGCCATCCAGTGATCCTGTTTCTGTACTCTGCTGTGAGGCCCATTCCAGATTGTCATCTGGTTTCACCTCATCTTTGTCACCTGGTGTGGCTTTTCCATGATTTGTTGCTGAGGTAGTGCCAGTTGTAGCCAAAGGTGGTTGTTTATTAATAGTGGCTTTTTCACTTTGACCGTTACCAGCTTTTTCTGCTGCCGCAGTCTTGCAGGAGGATTCTCTCTCATTTTCAGAGGTTTCTAACCCATCAGATGTTTCCACCATATTTCTCCAGTTTGTTTCTACAAGTTTCAAAAGAAGTTTAAATAGAAAACATTAATTCTTTCTATCAAAAAAGAATTTTCCCTGAACACCCCAGAACTGTTTAAGTAGTAGTAAGAGCTAATGATTTTAATATTATTCTATGCTTGCAAGAAAAAATTCAACTAGAAAATGGGAGAAATAGAGAGAAAACAGAAAGAGCTGTGAATAACTTTTAGGTTTTCACAGTATCCTTAACCAGACATTACAAAGTTGAAAGTTTGTGCACTTAGTTTCCTGTGTAAACTGTGGAAGCACCAGATGTATCAGTGAGTCTGGTCAAGGAGGTTACTCTCAAATATAACTTAAAATCGGAAAACTGCTATAGTATTAAGTCATCTGCTTAAGGATTTTTTGAAAAATGTTTAACAAATAAGTCTAAGACACCACAAAAAGAATTAATTAAAACCAAGATTATTTTCTTTTTAATACACCATAAGACTGAAAAAAAGAGGTTGTCTGACTTCAAACAAGCATTCTCCTTTTTATTCCCTCTGTCATCTGGGCTTAAGCAACTGGCTATATAAATCTTCCTTTTGCTCACACTAGAATCACTCACTGCCATGTTTCAATAATTAAGCTACATATCCTTTATTCAGAAACCTCAATAATTTAGTTCCTACCCTCTGTCATTAGTTTTTCCTCAATCATATAATAATCAATTCTGCATTTGGTACCAGTGCTACACCAGTTCAATAAAACTGGAGAAGACACCTCCACTGATGTGAGTTAGGTAACTAATGCTTCTGAGGATTAGAAATTTGAATTACTATTTTTATATAGTTCAGAGAAAAAAAAATTGCTTACACAAGTCCCTGAAGTCTAACCCATTTTCTCTTATCCCTGAAAATTGCAGAACACTGTGATTTATGAAGAAATACTGTATTTCTGGCTACAGTTTGCAATAAGCATCATTTGGAAAATTCAAACTTCTAGTTAAAAAAATAAGTTTTAGCACACTTACCATATTCTTTCTCATTCACTTCAGATATGGGTTCAGAAATAACACTACAGAATGAGATAGCACTTGCTGCAGAAGGGTTACGAGAATGGCCCATATGATGAGGTGCCTTCTTGACATTCTTCAAGGCTTCTTCTGCCTGCTCCTGTTCCATTGCAGCAACCATATCTCTGTATGCTTTTCTGGCCTCTTCAGTCAGTGATACCAGCTTATTAAACAGGTCCTAAGTACAAAGGCAGTTCTTAATTTCATTTTAAATTACTCCTTTTAGTCAGAGGTATACCACATAGCAAGCCTTAAGCTTATTAGTACCAAATACCTTTACTTCAAGTACAAATTATTCTGTATATTAAATAAAAATACCACCCCATGTTTATGCAGCTTTGAGGAAATATAAAAGATACTGGATTTTTGATTTTTTATTTTTTAAATTTTTACAATTTTAAGCCTTCCAGAGAGTTTTGGCATTTAAATCTATTTGAGAGCTACAAAGATGTTGCAACTGAAGTATTTCAACACAGTCTCTCAGTTCTGTAAACACCGCCTTCCAAAGGAAAACACGCTCATATAGGTCAGGTCAGGGCCATTATCAAATGCATATTAGTTAGGTAGGCTCTCTATGCCAAATAAATTCTTAAAGGCACATAACTGTTTACTCCAGTCATTTACATGAATGGATTTACTCACCTCAGCACCAGAGTAGTTGAAGATACCCACTACACTAACAGGAACCAGCTTGTTCACACAACGCCCAAGAGCTTTACGGCCAAGAGCAAAGACAAAAGGAATTTCTTGTTCCCGTGCCATGGCTATTACGTTATATAGAGCCTCATCCAGTCCACCTTGGAGAAAGCAATTTTAAATACATACCTAGTCAGTTAAAGTCATAGTATGGTGCTATACAACACTATTACATTTTAACTGCAACTGGTCAATAAAACTTCAACACATACAATCACCAGCTACTCTGTCCTACAGCATAACAAACTGTTCATTTCAAGTATAATCAGTATAGATCAAGGCAACATTCTCTATTCTCTATCAGTCCTGCACACTAATCAGATTTTTTCACAGCTCTTTTCTTGAGCAGAGCTTTGCTATTCTCCTATCTCAGGATGCCTCTATCTACACTTCTGGCTGTAGCAAAATGCATTGGTTGGCTAACTAAACAATTCATATTCCTCTCAAGGAATCCTTCTTAAGAGCATCCAAAGCTCAGAACTCTAGCTATATCAAAGACTGAACAGAATAAAATTGAAGTCTATTGTATTTGTTATAATATCTATTTTTCTTTAAGCTTTTCACCTCTCACGAACAAGTTTCTTCCAGAATTGAGTAGAAGAGAATGAATGTGGAGTGCCAATTACATAATTGATTCTGGGTGTTATATCATACACAGGAACTAAAAAATGTTTAAACCATGCTAATCAGCATAAGAAAACTATAAACAGTTAAATACACCATATATTTTTATCATTTATACCTTTTGACTGGATTTTCTCGCAGTTGGGAGATATGATTACACACTTAATCTTATTTAGCTTCATATGCTTAGTAACCTCACGCAACCCCATAACAAGTCTTCTTCTTGCTTTAGCTCTCATGGGATCCTTTTGATAAATACGTTCCTGGAAGCTGACAAGCTCTTGCAACAGGAGAGTCACACACTCATCTATTTCCTTACTTAGCACTTGGTTACAGTATCTGTCAAGTCAAAAAACATCCAATATTAGCATAGCACATAATCAATACTATTGCACCAAGCCTTTTCTTTTACCAAGTAATTTTACTTCCTTGGAACAATTACTAAACTGCTATTAAAGTTATTAAAAGGATTTAAGACAGCAGACTGTATATTGTAAGATAAAAATCCATCCAGGAAAATTTGTATTTCCACTAACATCCCTCACCTCAAGAGGTCAGTCAAAAAGAGTATTAAAAAATACCAAAAATACCATACTAGGTGCCATAAGCCACTATTCCTTAATTTGCTTCCCTATAAGGATAAAGAAGTAAGTGTGACTATAGTAAGAGTGACTATTACAGTATTTTCAGCATTCATAAGTATTCCATCCCATCCAAAGTGTACATAGCCCTTCTTTAAAAAGATTTTTTTGGAGATTACTTCCACCTAGCTTATATGTTGCAGCAACCAAAGTAGTCCAACATGCAGGTGCGTACATATATACACACACACATTTGGGTATGTATACACGCGCACAGAGCAAGCCACCTATGGCAAAAAAAAGAGCACTTACAGAAACTTCTATTGATGAAAGGGAAGGTTATGTTCATTAAACTCCTCCTAAGCCTATTAAAGCTATCCACACTTAAAAGACAAGGATGACTGAAGCACAAGCCTTTAATTTATATTAATGAATGCAAAACTCTTACTCTCTGAATCTCTTGCTGTGAATTTTAGTTATTGCAGAAGATGCCATTGGACTGCCTATTCCAGAACTAGCAGGTGAACCTTGTGACACTGGGGTCATGCAGTATGGAGAATTCTGACTTGCTGGTGAAAGCGAAGTATCACTAGTCATGCTTAGTCCAGTTTCTGAAAGACAATTGTGAAACATTATAAAAGGGAAAGACATTTTCATATAAAAGAAACAGTATTATACTTCTGGATCACTCCCTTGCTTTTCCCAAATTATGTTCTGAAAAACTGAACAGTGTTCTTCCCTGGACTGGGGACAAGGGGGGATCAGGACAAAACAAGCACACACCCAACATTCAGCATGGGTTGGATAAATAAGCAATATTTGATTATTCATTTAAAATTTCCAAAGCTTAGTTCAGGAAACTGACAGAACAGAAGGAAAAGGTTGCCTAAATACAACTTCTTCCAGTATTTCTTTACTATTTAAATATATATAATATTTAGCTAACTTATTCCTAGAATATTGAAGCTTTTCACACTTCAGTCAGGCAGGTTACTCAGAAGAAAAGTTTTGAACAAATACATCTGGAATCTTGACAGACACCTCCTCCCTGCCCAAATTTGTCAAAAAGTCTCTGGAGTTTCCCAGTTGCTCAGAGCTGTTGCTGCAAATCAATGATCCAGACACTGCAGTTGACTGACAAGACTACTAAACCTTATTTACAGTTTGCAACTTCTGTATCTGGAAAATTTCCAGTCTGCTCATTATTATAAACCACTGTGATCAACATGGCACAGTTGACAACACATCACATTTTGTCTGCTCATCAAAAATGCTACGAACTCTGACATGTTGGGAACATCCACTGAAGAGGAATGAATTAGAAGTCTGTATGGAGATTACGTACTTAGAACCCATACTGCACTCAGCCTTCCACAACTGAGGGACAGACAAGGCATTTTAGAAGAGGGTTCTGGTTTCTAGTATTTAATAATGTTAAAAAAGTTAAAAGATAACATCAATAAATTATGTTGCATTAAAAAGAGGACAAAATATTAAAATAAGCCATTTAGTGCATTTGGGGGGGAGAAAAGCAAAGATAGAGAGATAGAGACCAACCTTCTTGAGAGGCCAGGTCCTGCGACTGATCAGCAGTCACATTTATATGAACCTCTTTTGGCTCATCAGATCCCAACAGGCTGTGGTCAGATGACAAACGGCCTTTCTTCTCTTCTCTCTCTTTCAAAATGATCTAGGAACAAAACCAACAGCTATCAGCATCTGAAAACTGCAGATAGCAAAGAAAAATGTCTTTTTCCTGAATGCAACACAAAATAAACAAGTTGTTTTGAGCTTTCCTACTCATGCCAGCATAGAAAACCCTGAAATCATTTCAATTTCCTCTTTGATCATGAACAGTATTTCATTTCGGCATTATACAGATTGTCTACACAATACTCATACTTCTACATAAACAGTGCTTTCAACAGTTCATTTTAATATTAACTACTTTCACAATTTTTCTGACACATAACACTCTCATTAACAACCCCTTCATTTCCACCCCTGTAAAGAAACCTTATGCAAGAATACTAGTCATCTTTGTGAAGCACCAGAACACAGAAAATCCTTTCTATACAAGAAAGGGCAGTGCAAAGGTAAGTAGCCATGGATAGATCCGTATTACTGTGATAAATAACAACATAAAGGTATTGACAACAGAGAGCTACGGAGGCAGGGAGGGAAGCAACTTAGCCAAAGCCAGCACAGGCACAGCTTTACTAGTTCTAACTGCCCATATCATAAAGTGATCTTGATAAGAAATGTGGCGGTTAAAAAAGGCTTTCATTTTCCCTTCTGATTTCCATACATTGTGTAAACTGTGTACATACCTACTTCACATGTGCACATACATACATGTGCACAGCCAATCATTTCTAAACTTGACTCAAAAAACAATCTCTAAAACCAGAGAAGGAAAACATAAGGTTACCATGCTATATTGCACTACAAGCTAGGTTACAGCATGAAAAAACTGCAAATTCTTCCAGATGTCCTAGTGCTTACAGTAAAAAAAAAATAAAATTAAAAAATCCTTGCAATCTGTATTGAGATAGATTTGTACCATCTACAACTGATTATGGGACTATGAAAGTTATGCTGCATGCCTAGATCCAAAGGACAGGATATCAAGTGTAACAGGAACTAGGAGGTAGTAGTTCACGACTGCCTTACCCAATGCTCATGGTCATGAGTCCTCAAGTAAGGAAATACCAGTTATTTTTGAAGACAGTGGGTCAAGAAACCCCCCAGGTTGACATATTTACCTTTTTAAGTGCTGTAGGGCGTTTCAGTTTTGCAATTTCCCTTTCTTTTCCTCTTTTCACTTTTGGAGCAGTTGAATCCAAAGGATTAAGGCAACCCATTGATGGCTGTCCTTTTGTTAAGGACTTTCTGTTGGTGGATTCTTTGGTATGAAAGGGAGCAGCACTGCCAACTAAATACAAGAAAGATATTAATTCCACCAAAAGACATGTCAGCTTCATTTCAGCACTGTTTTCAGTATTTCCACTGATGAACTCTCAAAGTACATTTTCCTTCCTTGGAAAAAAGCAGCTCATAATGACAGGAAAATTACATCATCAGACATTGTGCTCCCAGATGTTTTTAAGCTTTCTTCAAACTTAGCCTCATGTTTTAGGAAGCTATGGATTCCAGGAAATTGCAAACTTCATTGGTAAGGGATCTCTCTCAAATTGATTTTATTAGTAAGATTTTAATAGCAAGGTAAGTTGCAGATAGTTATCCAAACATTGAGTTTTAGTTGTCCAAGACTTGATTAGTCGACAGGACAAAACAGAGGAGAGTGAAGCATGTAGTTAGTATATCTTCTGCAGGAGAGAGTAAAACAGACTAAAATGGAAATGCCAACTGTTCTTTGCTGAACTTTGTTTGATATAACCTTGACAACATGAATTAATGTTTGAACACAGCTGAAATTCAAAGCAGGTAAATGAAGCAACACACAAGAAGGAAAACGGTAACTATGGCCGTAACAATGGACTCTAGGCTACGTATTACTGCTCAGGAATGAGATTCATCGGTTATAATAGGTAACTACAATAATGTCAACTCTCTATTCAGCAGCAAACATTACAAGAGCTAATTTAATGTTAAGTGTTGAAAAAGAAATAGAGGGAAAAAAAAGCTTAAGTAAACCATTGTATATATTCATCATATAACTTAGTATTCTGTGCATGTCCGATCTTCCTTTATTTTCAAAAAGATACAACAGAACTACAAGGAGGTACAGAGAAAGCAATGTGGAACATGCTTCCACAACAGAATAACTAGACCAGGACTCTTCAGACTACAAAAGATATGACAGACCTTTAAAAATCAGAGGAGAGCAGGGAATGATTTTTCAGTCTTTGTAACAGAGAGGCTATGAAAGCTAACAAAACTGCAAGTGGGGCACAAACCAACCTGACCCTGACCTCCACCCCCACAAAAAACTCCAAAAACAGAGCAGGAAAAGCATCTCCACATAGCATGTGGTAAGTTTAAGACATTCACTGCCATCAGACTTTATAGACAGTAAAAGCATGTGATACAAGTAATAGAAGTGATGGACAGATTAAGGAACAAATTTGGTTTTAGAAAGCCTTGGGTCAGGAGGCCTTGAACTACAATCAGTAGAGGTAGAAGAATATCCTGGAGAGGTATCCCTCTGTGTCAGTCACAGGTATCCTCACTAAGCTGCTTTCCAAGGGAATTTTGTAATATCTGTGGTAATTGTTTGGTTTGACCTAATACAATTCTTCTCATATTCATTTTAGCACTGAATTACAATCAAGACATGAATCCTGAGTTTTGAATAGTAGGTCTTAGGAGAAATTTGTCCTCAACTATACATGGACTTTCACTGCTGCATACTGCAGCTCAGATGAAGACAGCACAGGTGAATTTTGAGAACACATCAAGGAAGTCTTCCCAGGTTTTTATTATGTTTATATTCAAAATCAAAAACTTGACAGAAAAACAACTCAACCCCTATTTCAGATGCTCAGACCCGTCACATTTATATTATCACAAAACACATTCAGCCATGGTCAGGCAGACGAGAAATACCTGTGTATGAGAGAGGCCTGGTGTTGGTGATCTGACGAGCTTTCATTGCTTGCTGCTGCTTTTCAAGAGCTGCTAACATGTCCCCCAGATCTAACTGAACAGGGGTCTTGCTCTTCTTTCCAGCTGCTTTTGATAGAGCTTCCTGTAACACAAACAACATATGCTGATAAATACAAAGAAATAGTGCCTGCAAAACCTTCTTTACAAGGAGAATCTTGGCATTACAGAATAAAGAAGACCAACAAGTAACTGACACACCTCTTTACCAAGTGCTGGGGAGGTGGGGGTGTGCTACTCACTTGAAGTTTTTTCTGCTCCATGCTTATCTCTGAATACTCTTGAGCTGTTGCAAGTGCTGCTGCCAAGGCCTTCTTCTTCTGACTTTTTGCACGCTTTGGTACAGAGGTTGTGATGGGAATTGGAGTTTGGACTATATTGATTGGAGAATTCTCTGGCAAATCATCCAACTAGGATTTTAAACAAAATGCAAGAAAAAACACAATTAAAAGACTTTTCCCTAAAGACCACAGGAAATGTGGCACTCCAGAAACCAAATGAATCATTTCAGTCCTTTGGTCACTAGCATGACATCCCAATTAAATACAGCAAAATGACACAGTAAGTTAACTGAGCTAGAAACTAATGTATTTCATTTTTGCACAAAAACACTACTATATTTCTCTTCAGTTATGCCTTCAGAAGGTTTTCTAGTCTGATTGCTAAATAAGGGAGTGTTCTTACTCCCTCCTGCAAAGATAAGTAACCTGTATGTATGGTCCTGCAAAAAAAAAAAAGTTTAGATCAAGATATTAAAAGAATATCTTTAATAAAAAAAACTGTTCCTACAGCCTTGAAACAAAAAGTTCAGTTTATTTTCATTTCAAAATAAACTACACAAACTGTAGCTATTTCAAAAAACTGACACCATTACTACACATTTGTACACCATACAGTTTTAAGCAAAGTCTGCACCAAAGGACCAGTCTGAACACAAGCCCTTTGAGTCACAAAGAATAACCAGGATATAGTTTATGTATTAACACAAAAAAAACTGATAATCCTCAAAACTAATCTTAACCTCAAAAAAACCCAACTGTTGCATCTACTGTTCACACAAAATTTAGCATGTGACTTCAGAAAGCACAAAACTTGGCAGAAAACCAGTGAGATGGAGAAGCTAGGAGCTAGACTCAATGATCCTTAGAAGCTGCTTCTAACTTGTGACAGTTTATGATACCAAGTGTCTATCTATCCTAGAGTTTCACTTGTTAATCTCATTAACAGACAAAAATCCAGCTGTGTTTTTTTAAAGATGGGTTCTCTGCACCACTTATTTTAATTGGTATTTCTTTAGCATCCAGAGCTGGTAACACAAATACTCCACAAAGAGCCCAGTTACTGCATTAAGTACAGTAGTGGAGACTGAGGAAGAAATTACACGTATCAAGTAGTCTCAAAATTACTTAACTTAGAAACACTTTGCAAAATGAATAATTACTTACTACTTTGGGTGAAATCTTTTGCTGGATGTTACCACTTTTACTGCTGCCATTGTCACTATTCAGCTCTGGAAATTCATCTTCATCCTAAACAATACACAAGAACGAAGAGAATGGAACCAAAAGTCACATGAAAAGCATCAACAGAAACAGCTGCAGCTAGAAGAATAAATTGAATCCTGAAGTCCCACATAAACTAGAAGGGCTTAAAAGTGACACAAAAATAATAAAAAAATAACAAAGCATTTTTGTATTCATTTACTTTTTTTAAAATAAGAATAATGTTTCAAACTAAAGAAATCCAAATCCAATTGGGGGAAACATCATTTATTCCACAACATGCACCACTATAGCACAGAAACAGTTTTCATACAACACTACCTCAAAGTACAGAGGTTCAGGACTCTGCTCTGTTCTGCTTGACTGGCTTGCAGTTAAAGGTTTTTCATGTCGTTTCTGCAAATTCTGCCTTCTTTCTGAAGATGTGCTGTGGTCTCTGCATCTGAATCCAGACTGAAAATAAGGAACAGAATTGGCATTTCACAATTGTAGTTTTTCAAGGTGTGTGTACATGCATGTAAGGCTCCCATGTCTGCCAATCATCAACTAAGGTGACAGTTTTGACAGAATCAGATTTAATAAGCTGTGCTTTTGTGTTCTCCTGGGGTATTTCTGCTGTTGTTTTGGGGTTTTGCTGTTGTTTTAAAACCTGTACCAATATATTCTAGAGGCAGTACCAGATTATTCCCCCCTCCCAAGTCACATGCAGCATCAGAATACATTCACCTCTAAATTTCTAATTAAAAGCAAAACAAAACACAAAAGGTCCTTTTGGCCAAACATGAAGAAAACCACAAGAGCTGCTGGTGAGTATGTAACTCAGACTCTAAGCTTGAGGAACTGTCTGTAACCATGATCAAAAGAACTATCTTCCACTATAAAACTGTTCTGCTTACAATTATTGCCAGGCCAATGTTCAGGCCAAAGTACAAGCACAGAGTTCTCTAAGGACAAGAGACCGCTGTAGTATAAACATGCTTCTGTTTATTACGTGAAAGATTGGTGGTATCCCATGTGCAAGACTGGTTGGCTTAAAGCAAAGCGTGATTTGAACCTCCAATTCTGGATCTTTCATACCAATCTATTTCTGAAGAAAAGGTCCTATAGACCCAGCAAAAATTTAGTTTCAAAGGAAAACTAGAACAATTCTGCCCTGAGGTACAATGAATTTGGCTGGGGAAACCTAATTTAAAACTCTGTGCCTGCTTTGCTCTTAAATAGCTAAAATAACTGCCAGATTTAGAGTCTAAACTATAACTAGATGAAAGGAAACATGGTTCTTCCTACTCTCCCAATTCTACAAATGACAAATAGTGGTTCTAAAAGCACCTGATTTGACTAGAGATTATAAAAAGATTCTGAACTGCCATACTGAACTGTGTACTGCCCGATATGAGCATCGAGCTTCTTTATATAATAAACCCATGGATACCAAATGGGAAGATTCAAGACAAATTAACAGTTGCATCTACAAAACTAAACAGAGCAAGCTACCTCACATATATCTGAGCATACAGACATCTATGACAAAGCTCCCACTTCAACCTCAGCTACTCGTCTGCAATAACCGTATTCAAGCAAAACCTACGCTTAAGCAAAGGCAGATGTCCCCCTCTGCACACACTCTCCTCCCCTCCCTTCACATCATGATCTCTCTTTAGCAAGTTTGAGGGAGGGTTCAGGGTTTTTTTCCCTTTTGAAGTGTGAACGGGTCAAAAACTGAAGTAACTTTTCTACACCTACACTGTATTCATTTCACAGATTACTTCATATATGCAATGTTCTTCCTAGGTAGATACATATAAAGAACAGGCTGCCAAGTAGAAAATTGCCAAGCACATGAAATTTTATTTTTATATATATGTATATATATATATAAATGTGTATATATATATAAATGTGTATATATATATATGATATAGTGCTAGGCAAAGAAACATGCACGGTAAAAATGTGCAACTGGACTTTTAGGTTGAATTACAACACTTTGCATTCACCATTTTCATTAACTGTTCTTTGCATTTTGATTTTATAATGCATTTAACATTTCTTATTTTCACATATTACAAGAAACTGAATGCTTAGACTTTAGAACCATTAGCAACATACCTGTGCACTGTTCCTTTGCTCAGCTTGTCTTCCACCTCTAGAAAACGTCTGAGTTTTTTCAATCCAAGGTTTTTTTTGAGTTGCCTGGGAATTTACATTAGTCCAACTTATACCAGCTGAAAAACAGAAATGCCTTCATTGAAAAAATTAGTATGACAGAATACGTCATAACAATACACATGCCATCAGAGCCGGGAAAACAATTTTGATATAAATAAAGTTCTCTGAGAAAGTCTAATTCTCCTCTGACAAGGATTCCCCTCTTACTTCTGTAGCTGTATCCAGATGTTAGCAAAATTAAGGAAGTCTTAATGGAAAAGTCAGATTACAGACATTCAAACTGCCAAAAACCGATCATCAGGAAGCTGTCAGGTTCACACTGACATTCATACGGATTTGGATCCAGTCATTAATAGCAGCCACTAGCCCTACTCACTACTACCAGACTAAAAATATTTGTTCATATTACCATACTTCTTTACAGTTTCTATAAAAGCATCAGTACTTCTCAAATAGAGAATGAGAAGTCTTCAATTCTATTTCTACCCTAGCAACTGCAGTTTCACAGGGTAAGGAAGCCTGAGGATAAAACACAACAGAAGCACAGCTTTATCTGAATGCTTCCATTGCAGTCTCTAGCTTTCTTTAATTCTTTAAAAGCAGCTGTTGATAAACCATTAGTGATAGCTACTTATACACCAATTCACTCGACAAATAACTGGGGCCTTAATGGAGGTGGTGGAAATCACAGTAAAGACATATCTTCAGAAGTATCTGATCAATCAGGGTAGCATGCTGGAAGCAGATCAAAAATGATTCCTAGCAAAATGTAACGAAAAATAAATACAAAAGTGACCCAGCTAAATTTTAAACAGCTCATGAGCTAAGACAATACTTACTTGTACTTACTGATGGCTCTACAACCTGAAAAGGGAAAAAAAGTTTTCAGTAATTTTTACTAGTCTTTAAGAAACAAATACAGTTAATTTATTCAGTTATGTATTACATACATTCATTGCACAAGAATCTGTATTTCTTGAAGTCATGGCTGCAGCCTGGTTATTGCCATGCTTAGGACTACAATAGCCACTGTCACTGTCAATGTCCGCTTCACTTGCACCCTGTTCACTAGAGGACTCTGCGGCAGGGTGAGAAGTTCTTCTGCGCCTGCCTTTTGATTTCCAAAGCATTGTAGAAGCACTCTCAGAAAGTGATTTATTGGCTATATCTGAAGGGAAATCTGCAAGAAAAAAGTAAATAAGTTACTTGTGCAAGAATTGTTAAAGGACATGAAAAGCCTATGCATCATAAAAGAATAAGGAAAGCCAAAGTCTTTGCACATGACAACAATCTCCTAAGAAAATTAAAACCAGCATTGTATTTGAACATATGTCTAGATACAGCTATTAATAATAACCAGCTCTTTCAGGAAGAGCCCGCTTTTGTCAGGGGAAAGAAAATCCCTGCAGAAATACCGTATCATTGCAACGTTACAATGTGACATACTGAGTAGGTCTCTGCAACTCTTAGCATATTTTCATTGTATTTTTGATCCACAAAGCCACATCTAAGCCAGAGCCACCTTCTTTTAGGAAGGATGGTGACTGACATGTACTACTAGCTATTTTGTACATCCAGAACACAAAAAAACCTTACCTGTTTGCTGTGAGGCATCAACCAGCAAAACAATCTTTGATCTGTTCTCAGGACCTGAAGAACTGGTCTCCTTTTGAGTGGCAACATTTTTCACTGGAGGACGTTTACTTTTTATGTGCATCTGTAACTGCTGTTGCTGTTTTAAAAGATTAGCCACACACACGTCATATGATTTGACTTCACAGTTGTAAACAAGGCAACTAAAAGTTCTAACGCTCTCTACAGAAGCCACATGTTTAAAGACAAAAAAGATTAAGGGAAGCATTAATAAAAATATCAGACTTATTTGCAGTATTTTCTGAATGAATAGGGTTTTATAATATGGAAATACATAAAAAAGGGTAAAAGAAGTATGGGCATACTTCCTTTGCTCTCTAAGGAAGTAACTAAGCTCAGACCAAACCAGCAAAGACGCAGTGGGAGTTTCCCACATTATACGTGCAGGCTCTATAAACTCACCAACTACTTTACCAAGAATTTTGCTATTGTCCTATTAATACCTACCTTTTCTGCACACCTTTCCTTCCATTGATACTGCTGCCATAGTATCATTTTACTGAAATAAGATGCATTTTTCCTGGGCAAAGATATTTTCTCTACACAGTTTTACTTATCCTATTAAAAAACAGACTCACTTTTTGTATGACTGGTCCCCTGTTGCTGCTTCTGCTCCGCTGACTGGATAACGGAAAGACCTGGCCCGATGGGTTGGGACGCTCAGTGCATTCTGTAGTAACTGTATTTACAGTATTTGCTGTTTGAAAGGGTGCAGAATAAGGGGTAGGGAAAGGATGATAGAAACCCATGACCTGAGCACATGGTGCTGGCATCAGCTGATAATATGTATATTCTGTAGAAACAGGAGGTTGCGCAGATATTATAGGATAAGCAAGGTATGGTCCTGCAGGATTTGGGTTGGGTTGCTGCCATCTGATGTCATTGTTGTATAACGGAAACTGTCTGCAAAAATCAAAAAGAAAGGCAACTGCTCAGGAAGTTTCTCTCTCTCAATCTTTACTACCTCCTTAAAAAAGGAACAGAAAACAACCAATCTCATTAGTTTCATGAGCTCTTAGCTTTTAATAACTAAACTTAAATTTATTAGGACTTCAAGATGCTGATCAACTGATTCACAAGCTCACATTACATTCAAGTGCAAGACAAGTACTTCTGTCGATCTTGCATTTGTACAAGTTCATTAAATTTCCAATATGAAACAAAATGTAGGCATTTATTTTCACAAGTACTTTGTTTCCATTACAATTTCAGTAATATAACCAAAGTACACACCTAAGTTTACACAAGGTAAGCTAGCAGACACATGGAACATTAGCCAACACAGGGGCAAGTACTTAAGTATGTTAAGTTGCCAAGTCACCCTTGGTCAGAATTCCTATGAAAATGCAGGCCTTAAGCAGCACACATGAAAACAGGCATTTAGGACCTTACTACTGAAACCAAGCCCAAAGACTTCTTCCTGTGTTTATTTGTGATACAGCATACTACTAGAAGACCCCCTTGGAAACTACGAACCCAAGTCTCTCTCTTCAGATCCCCAAGAGACTGGGAAATCTACATGGAAAATGCAGAGGCCAGAGTATTAGACAAAGAGTAAGAAAAGGTCCAGTATAATTTTATAGATCAGCAGCAGGCACTTGCTAAGTATTATTTTTGTTCTTCATATTCCAGTACAGCAGCACTGAAGTGCTATCCTAAGCAAACACTAAGTACATTTTTCAAAACCAAACAGCAGTAATTGTTTATGCCTTCAGAGTTGACTATTTATATTGAAGTTGTGCATTTAGTGAATACCGCAGTTGGGTAAGGATAAAGAGCATGTGGGTTAGAATAAAGGAGTTCCTAAACAAAATGTATTATAACTCATTATGCTAAAAAGACAACCCTGGATACAGCTACACAAGTGTCATCTGCACAGTGTTTTGCACCAAGGTTGAATCCAAGTTATACACATGGAGCCTTGCTTCAGCATCAGAGATTCAGATACAGACCTACTGACTGCCCTAGAAGATGCAAGAGCAGAGCAGGTGACATTGTGGAGAATTTCGAATCATAGAATTTGTACCAGACATCTACAGCCAGGGCAAGAAAAGCTGCAAAGAATATGAATAGAGATAAGTAGAGGCACAGAAGTAAGTAAAAAAGATCTGGGACAGGGAAACTTCACCCTCGCCCATGAACAGTCACAAAATTAAATAAAGTGGACATAATAAATAAGCTCCCTGACTCCTCTCAAGTCTACCAAAAGTTTAAACTCATTTAAAAACACATCTTTCATGAAGAACACAACTATTTATTACCTATTGGGTTGGTTTTCCTGTACAAATGGATAGCACGTGATCAGGTAGCTAGGGATAGGAGTTGGTTCCATGCCATTAATTCCTCCGCTGTCGTTAGGAAGCGCCATTGGGATCATTAGTGTTTCTGGACCCTTCTTCTGAGGAATAAATGGTTCTACTTCAGCTGACAGCTTGACATTCTTAAAAAAAAATAGAAACAATGTCTTCATTGAATACAACCATAGATTGCTTGGGAAAATTCAGATTCATAATGTTGTACACTATATACCACAAATAGCAGGCAAATGTATGACAAGACTACAGGGTTCCTTAAACTGAAAGAGACGTAAAACAGTTGGCAAGCACTTGTTATATCCTTCCCATCACAGGGTGTAAGACAGATCACCAACATTTGGCATTTGTATTAACCTTTACATTTCAAAGTGCGAAAACTAATTAATTTAAAAGGGACTGAAGTTCAGATCTTGCAAATGATATACTAGTCTGAGCACAGAAAGAAATCAAATTAGCGCTGTAGGTGGAACACAGTTCTGGAGACTTTCAAAAGTGAAACCAACATATGGAAGATATAGTAATGCCTGACCTGCTCTACAAATCTGACCATGTTCCTAGGCAATTATAAAGAAGATTTTTCAGCAGTAAATCATAGGTTTACTACAAAAATAGATGGCGTATCGCAGAACCACCACCCCCCACATATTCCATCTGCACAATTTTAACATATGTTAAAGTGTTAAGAATATAATTATATTTTGCCATGAAGCCATTAAAGACTGCTTAGAAATTAAGTTTTAGAAAGCAATTTAAAGACTGCTTTCAAATAAAAGTATCTCTCCCAGTCCTGAAGGTATCCCCAAAAGCTTATATGGTGTTTTTACCCAAACTTTTTGTCTTGTACAGAATGGCTGGATCTTAAACAATGAAAAATTCTCTATTCAGTACAACTGCAGATCCAAAGTACCCTTAAATTCTGTATTCCATTTTAAGTTACATTCAGCCAAAAAGCATGTATTTGTACAAAGATTTCAGCTTATTTATACTTGTCGCACATTAATATCTCAATGAACACCAATTCTCTCCAAAGGAGGCAAGGATTCCAGAAACTTTTCCTTCCATTTGTCTAAAAGCATTCCAAAGGCAGCGCATAACCTATACAAGTACATGCTCCTATTCTACAAAAGCTTGACTGTTTGATGTGCTGAGGACAGCATTATATCCTTTCCATTACCTGCAGAACATCCACATGAAAAGAAACAATTAAACAATGGGAGCTCTGAAAACATGATGGCGCGTAGTCCTGCGCCTACCACACACTTCTCAGTCCATGTCCTTGCTCAGCACACCCACAGGCAGTCTTCCTGTTCAATATCTGAATCTATAAGCCTACTATAAGTCCCCAACATTCTTTTTTTTTATTAAGATCGTGCATTTCTTTAGCAGCTTGGAGGTGGAGGGCTAAGTCCAAAAAATGTTTTGAAAATACAGTTGTTCCAGTGAGCAAGGAAAGCTACTTTTACTTGATGAGTAGGTAAATACACCAGCATGAACTAGAAAAAGTGAGGTCAAGACCCACTTATGCAGAGTACTAGACCTTTGTTTAGTTAGTCTGACGCGTTTACATACAAGAAAATCTAATTACTAAGCAACAGGTAGAATCATCATTAAGTAAATTACTAAGACCATGAGTTACACTGTAATTCACCAAACAAGCTGCAAACCAACTGGTATTTAAGTACTTTACTGTCACATAATCTTCAGAAGGGAAAGGAAAAAAAAACACTCCATAGTTGAGACTGTAAAAGCTCCCTTTCATTTATTATATTCGCTATTAAAACATCAGAACTACCAGAAGCATTTTCAATACAGATTACCTATGATTACAGTATTAGAATTCCCTGTCAATTTTGAAAATTAAACCAGATGTTTTGCTCAATCCATTTTCAGCTCCAAACACAACATTCAAGCTAGGTAATTGCAAAGATGGTCGTTCTGTAGCAGCTATTTGGATGACTAGTACAAGTGGAATCAAACTTCTCCTATAAACAGTGCTATTATATACAAAGCATCTGCCTCTTTTTATTTTTACCCTTCCATTATCAAATTATCAAAATCTCATACTTCATGAGATTTTAGGCAGTTAGCTACAGTATTAGCTCAAATTTCACCAGCCACCTCCTGTAAACATCAGTTCGTCGAATAATTTTACTTAAGCATCACTCACTTTTTCCAAATACTGAGCACCTAACTAAAAATTAATTACGTAAACACAGCCAGAAGCTTTCTACGTGAAACATTATTTAGGATAGCAGAGAGTTGTCTGCAAGTATTAATTTGAGATCAAAGTTACACCCTTAACAACTTCGATGGTAAGATGTTCTGCAAGCCACAGTGACCAAAGACAAAGCCTGGTATACCTGGACTAATAATAAAAAAGTTATATAAAAAGAGGGGGCAGGAAGCAAAAATCATGAAGTAGAGAGTCCATTGTTATTTTTAACCATTTCCTGAGAGGCTTCTCTAACTTTGGGCTTGTCAAGGTGTGCTAAGAAAGCAGAAATATCCCTTCCAACAAAATGAGTCTCTGCTTTCATAAGCTTATTTAGTAAGAACATCAGTCATTTACAGATAAAATTGTAGCATAAGAGACTTGAAGTTTTAGCAGCAATCGAGAGGAAAACAAAACTTCTAAATAAATAAATGAAAGGATAAAAGTAGAACTAGAGCGGCAGAAAGGGAAACAGTATGTCTTAGTAAGTGACAAGATACGCTATTCTTGTCAAAAAGCGGTTAATAATGACTGTTGTGAAAAAGGTTATGGCTACAAGCACCAGTACAAAAGTATCACTACCTGCTGCGCAACAAGGTCTACTTTACAGTGGAACGATCACCTTTAAATCTTTTTCAGCTCCTGAAGTTACATACAGAGTACAAGCCATGGTGCAGGTGCAGTGGCAGCACCTAACTTGTGCAACACAAGTCAAACGCACTGCTCTACAGAGAGCTTCCTCTGACCTCAGGCACATCCCTCCGCAGCTGGTGACTCACCCACCCCTATGCAAAACTCCAAGGCATTCTCCTCCACACACAGCACCATGAGGATAAACACTTTCCATTAACTGACTAACTAAAAAAAACCCCTCTAATGCTTACGTACACTTACACATAACAGAAATACCAACACTGAAATCCCTCCCAGAAACTAGAAGGGTTCTTTTTATGCTATTTCAAGATCACGAAGCAAAAATATTTAAGAATAGATTCAGTTGTGGGCTGGCCTACAGAGCTGAACAGCATAAACTTTAAAGGAATACACCAAGGCTGTCTCATCCATAAGGAATTTAACAGTAAAAACTGGGCAAGTGCTTTATAAATACGGTGTTTTTCATGAAGTTCTGAAAACTTTCAAACAACTACCCCTAATCTACTGGTCAGTACCTCCTAGCAACATGTCAAGTGAACTTTATCCAAGATACTAATTATACACCACTCTAGTGCTGGTTTGGAAAATAGTCAACATTTTATTTGTGACTGAGGTTGGGAAAAGATCCTTATTTTAAAGGTCTTTTCCTGTCTGTCTGCTCTTTCCCTATATTATTTTGGAAAAATAAATCCTCATTCCTTAATGGCGAGTCACTTGCAGAATGGTCTCATTACAGGGTTTTTTGTGACATTGTATTATACCATCATTTATTATTAGTATTATGTGAGAACAGTCTTTCACATCAAGTACTAAAAGAAGGAGATATAACTGGTCAAAGCAGGAGCCAAATGACTCTCATCAGCAAGGCTGCCATAGTGAAGTATTTCTTGTCAATTTGCAAAGACAATCCCTACCTTACTTTTCTATTTAAGTATTTTGGATGGAATTTAACTCACTTTAACACTTCCAGTAAAAGTAGAATTATTATATTTTTTGTTTCTATTTAAATAATAAAAAACCCCTACAAAACAAAAAACAAAAACCCCAACTCTCTTAAGTAACTTTACAAGCTGAAGAAAATGTCATTGGATTTCATTTCAAGACCAGGTTGGACGAGGCCTTGGGTGATATGGTTTAGTGGGAGGTGTCCCTGCCGCCCATGTCAGGGGGGTTGGAACTTGATGATCTTAAGGTCCTTTCCAACCCTAACTATTCTGATTTCTCCTGCTTGATTTTGCTAAGCTTAAACAACTTTGAGATGCCCAAAGTAGAACAACTTTGATGTTTCCTTGCCTGTTCCTCAGCCTCTTCTACAGGTAATGATTAACTATTGCTACGACAGATCAATTGGCTGATGTACTTAATAACCATTTTCTGTACAGCTCATAACATATGTAGCTTACCTGCAGTGCTGAAATAAATATACAGCATATCCTGTAATCATAAACACATATGGGTGTATTTGAAAGTTAATTTCTTTTTTCGCCTACAGAACTTAGATAGGTCTGTTATTTTAGGGAATCAAAACTGCATTTCAAAAATCTTTTACATGCCTTACATCTTAAACACAATTTTCTTGTGCAATTTAACCTGTACCTACAGGTTGGGTTAGTCTGAGGTTTGGTTTATGTTGGTGTTTTTTTTTAAATGCTTGCAAGAAACTTGTTTCAGCAAAAAGAACAATTTGAGGTAAAGCTCTGGTTTTCAATTTTGCAATTTGTTCTGTAGGCATCGTGTAAGTGTGTGTGTATATCCATATAAAATATATATATGCTAACTCACCAGAACAGCAACTAAAAACTTGAAAACCTTAATACAAGTGTTACAAAACCATTCTGTAAGCATAATATAAGCAGTACTCAGCACAACTGATACATTTCATGAAACAACAAATCCCCATTTCCACTTCAGGGTAGAAAACAAAGACAGCTCAAGTGTATTACTAGCTAAACAAATTAACTTCAACATATTACTTCCTTATAGTACCTTACCAGTCCCTCTAAAATACTTAGAAGTTCCTTTTTACATAGGATGCGTCTTCAGATGAGGACAGTGAACTTTAACTTGAAAGCAAAAAGGGGAAGCAAATGTATCAAGTCAGGAACCAAACCAACACATAAACAGAATTAACTCTCCAGTGTGATTACCCAGGCATTTCAGTACTTTTCACAGATGGTTAGTGGTTTCATCTGACACCTGAAGGAAACAAAACAGCAACGCCAAGTAATTTGCCCCAAGTCATCTAAGCAGATTTTTTTT